CCTGCAGCCTCCCCTTGTGACTTCACCTCCTCATCTCCATGGACACAGCTCCAAACACTCCAGGACCCGCCAGCAGTGAGCAGGAGGCGCTGGGAGCAGGGAGAAGCCGAGAGCAGGGGAGGTCAGTGCCTTCAAATACCGAATTTTCACAATCCCAGCTTTGTCCTTCTCCCATGGGGACATGGGAATTCTCTGACCCTCACACATCCCCCAGAATTCCAGCATCAGTGCAGCCTGTGCTGGGATTTTTAGTGGATTTATTCTGTTTTTCGCCCACTCCCTGGAATTTTGCATTTTTTTTCTTAAGAATTGACATGAATTGTTTTAGGAAATGAGAAATTGTAATTACAAATATTCACTAAAACCATCAGACTGGTCAGATTTCAGCTCTAAATCCTGAATTCCAGCAATCTACACTGGAATAAACAGTTCAGAAATTCAGCCAGTCCTGAAATTAGGGCTTTAAAAGTGTTTAAAAACCTGAATCTCATTAAATTAACGCTGATACATATTTTTTCTAAAGAGAATCTCCTGAAATTGGGATGTGAGATACTGGTTTTGGACAGCAGATGCTGGTTTGGGATGCAGCTGCCTCTTCAAACACCGGAATCAGTGAAGGAGGAACGGGGCAGACTTCCACTTTTCCGTCCAAACTGCAGGAGAAAATAGAGAAAAAAAGAGAAATCTTTTAAAATGGGCATTTTTGGTTTTGTCCCGAGGCAATTCAGGATGGGAAATGCAAATCCAGGAATGGCACTTGTGCTTCCACCCTAAGAAGTTTTGGGTTGAACAATTGAGCGGCTGGAAGAACCAGGTGGAAACACAAGGGGCAAGAATGTTCCCTCTGAGCTGTTCTTTTCTCCTCCTGTTTCAGTTTTTCACAGTTTGATTGGGACATGGCATCCAAAAAAACGAAGAGCAAGGATGCAGAGGCACCGGAAGAAACAAGTGACACGGAAGATCCGGTCAGGGAGAGGAAACTGCACCTGCAGGAGGAGTGCAGGACCCTCACACAACACCTGGACACGTACCTGGGCAGGGCCCAGCAGCTCCTGCACGCCAACAAACGCCTGGAAAAGGAAGCCCAGGGCACCGAGGAGCAGAGCCAGGCCTACCTGTCCCGCGCAGCAAAGCTCAGCCAGGACCCCCCGGGCATGGTCATCACCCTGAGCCACCAGAACTGCCGCGACCTGGCCCAAATCCAGGCGCAGAAGGACGAGCTGGTGCCGCGGTACGCCGGCAAGGAGCAGCAGGTGAGGAGCGCCCTGGAGGACGCGGGGGCCGAGGCGGCGCTCCTGGACACGGAGCTGGCGGAGCTGCAGCCCTACGAGCAGCAGAAGGTGCAGGCGGAGCAGAAGGTGAAGGCGCTGGAGAGGGAGCTGCGGCTCACCAGGATCCGCTGTGCCGAGCAAAGCCACGGCGCCAGGAGCGGGTTCGTGCGGGACAAGGCGCGCTGCGAGCAGGAGCTGCAGCTCAGGATGCAGGAGCTCACCTGGGGCGCCGAGGAGGTGGCGCTGCAGGCTCTGATGCAGCACGTGCAGCAGGTGAAAGCGGAGAACAGGCTCCTGCGCCGGGAGCTGCAGGGCCTCCTGCAGCACTGCCAGCTGCTCAGGGACACCCAAAGGCAGCGGCACGACCAGCACGAGCAGCTGCTGCGGGAGCTCCAGTGCGCCCGGCGGGCAGCGCTGCTCCCCGCGGCACGGCGCCCGCGGCACGGACCACCTGCCCTGCTGGCCCCAAAGCGCCTGGCCGTGCCCGGGAGGAACTGAACGGGCCACCGAGCAAACCCTCTGGGCACCGGCAGCACTGGCGGCTTTGAGCTCTGCTCGCAAGGATCCATAAAATGCATTGATGGGCTCGATCCGTGGGGATGTTCTCCTTCTGTCCCAGGGAGGGGGGGGCTGCCCCGTCCCTGGGGGGGATCAAGGCCAGCGGTGGGTGGGGTTTGGAGCAGCCTGGCCCAGGGGAAGGTGTCCCTGCCCTGGCAGTGGGGGTGACACGGGGTGGGCTTTTAAATCCCATCCCATTATCCCATTCCATCATCCCATCCCATTTATCCCATCCCGTTATCCCATCCCATCCCAATCTTCATTTGCCAGCCCAGCTGCAATCTGGGTCAGGAACTCTTTGAAAGTTCCACAGTGAAAATGTTCCACTTGGGTTGTTCTTCGGGCCAGAATGATGAGTTCCAAGGCAGTTTGTTGCAGGAGGAGCTCGTTATCCAGCAGGAATTCCTGGGAGCAGACTGTTCCTGATGAGCTCGGGAGGAGCTCGGCACAGGTGCTGCTCGTTGGGGTCTGACGGAATTTGTGAGATCACAGAGCAGCCCGAGGCTCGGCCACAGAGGCACCACCACCATTTATTCATGAAAATCCTGCGGCTTGGCTCAGGAAACTCTTTTTCCGTCCAGCCCCGGGGCTTTGCCCTCGTTAGCCCGCGCAGCTC